CAGTGACATCGGCGCATACTTTTTGCCAGGCCATGGGGCTCGACTCCAGCGTGCTGCTGTCGACGGAGTTCAGCCAGGCTTTTGGATCTCTGCAGGCGTGGCTGGCGAGGATGAAAGAGAGTCGGAGGTGTATGAGTGGGGCACGAGAGAGGTGATGGTGCGCGTGTGAGCGCGACTTCACGTAAGCGTGAGAACCGGCGAGTCATGACAAGTATCGAAGACGCCTATAACGAATCACCGACGCCCCTCTGCCTTTTGGAAGCGCCTATGTGGCCGAACGTTGTTGTCAGAGCTCAGTCGCGTTTTCGTATCATGTGTTCTCCCAGCCGTTGTGGAAGCCCTTCGGGGAGCGCGTTGTGGAAGGAGGAGGAGAGGGAGGAGAGGAGGAGGAGGAGGAGGAGGAGGAGGAAAAGGACATGACATGACAATCACCATACCCTCCATCCGATGTCTCTGGAGAGAGCTGAATGCGCTGTTCAATTCAGCTAGAACAACATCATCATGTATAATCGTGCAATCCGCACTGCGCTTCTGATTCTGGAGCGGCGGGCCTGATCTAGCCAGGAACTTGCCCAGAGGCTGGGGCCTCGAGGCGACGGGACGTGCTCTACGGAGCCTCCTTGGCTCCAGAGGACATCCCCGCGATCTCCGACGTATGGGAGGACCGTGATGAGGACTGACGACCTGCGCAGCCTTTTTGCTGTGGAACCGACGAACTGCGCAACCTTTCCCGCTTTATCGGGCTTTTTGGAAGAGAATTGACGACTTGTGCCGTTTTTTGAATTGGGAACCGACAGGTTGTGCAACCTTTTTCGTTTTTGTTTTGTCGGGCCGGGCTCGGTTTTCGAAGTTGTGCAATTATTTTGAAATAGAGTTGGCGACTTGTGCAAGTTGTTGATTGGACACCGACGGTCTGTGCAACCTTTTTTGTTTTGTGTGACCGGGCTCTGATTTCGAAGTTGTGCAGTTTTTTTTTGATTGAGAATTGACGACATGGGCAGCTTGTTTGATTAGGACCCGACAGAAAGTGCAACCTTTTCCGTTTTGTCGGGTCGGGTTCGGTTTTCGAAGTTGCGCGGCTTTTTTGGAAAGAGAATTGACGACTTGTGCAGCTCTTTTCCTTTGGGAACCGACCAGGTGTGCAACCTTTTTCGTTTTGTCGGGCGGGGCTCGGTTTTCGAAGTTGTGCATTTTTTTCAAAAATAATTGACGACTTGTGCAGCTTTTTTGATTGGGAACCGACGGGTTGTGCGATTTAGTTTGGTCGGGCCGGGCTCGGTTTCCGAACTTGTGCAGGTTTTTTGAAAGATAATTGATGAGTTCTGCAGCTTTTTTGCTTGGGAACCCACGGGCTGTGCAACCTGTTTCGTTTTGTCGGGCCGCGCTCGATTTTCGAACTTGTGCAATGATTTTGAAAGAGAATTGGCCGACCTGCGCAGCTTCTTTGATTGTAAACCGTCGGTTTGTGCGATATTTTTCGTTTTGTCGGGCCGTGCTCGGTTTTCGAAGTTGTGGAGCCTTTTCTGACAGAGAATTGGCGACATGTGCAATTTCTTTGATGAGGAAGCGACGACTTGGGGAACCTTTTTCCGTTTTGTCGGGCCAAAATCATTTTTCGACGTTGTGCAGCTTTTCTGAAAGACAATTGACGACTTGTGCTGCTTTTTGATGGGGAACCGACGGGTTGTACCACTTTTTCCGTTTTGTCGGGTCGGTCTCGGTTTTCGAATTTGTGCAAGTTTTTTGTTTGGGGAATTGACGACATGGGCAGCTTGTTTGATTAGGGCCCGACAGAAAGTGCAACCTTTTCCGTTTTGTCGGGTCGGGTTCGGTTTTCGAAGTTGTGCAATTTCTTGGAAAGAGAATTGACGACTTGTGCAGTTTTTTTTGCTTGGGAACCGACCAGTTGTGCAACCTTTTTCGTTTTGTCGGGCGGGGCTCGGTTTTCGAAGTTCTGCAATTTTTTTCAAAAATAATTGACGACTTGTGCAGCTTTTTTGATTGGGAACCGACGGGTTGTGCGATTTAGTTTGGTCGGGCCGGGCTCGGTTTCCGAACTTGTGCAGGTTTTTTGAAAGATAATTGATGAGTTCTGCAGCTTTTTTGCTTGGGAACCCACGGGCTGTGCAACCTGTTTCGTTTTGTCGGGCCGCGCTCGATTTTCGAACTTGTGCAATGATTTTGAAAGAGAATTGGCCGACCTGCGCAGCTTCTTTGATTGTAAACCGTCGGTTTGTGCGATATTTTTCGTTTTGTCGGGCCGTGCTCGGTTTTCGAAGTTGTGAGGCCTTTTCTGACAAGAATTGGGCGACTTTGCAATTTTCTTTGATGAGGAAAGCGACAGACTTGGGGAACCTTTTTCCGTTTTTGGTCGGGCCCGATCATTTTTTCGACGTTGTGAGCAGCTTTTCTGAAAGAGAATTGACGACTTGTGCCTTTTTCTCGGATGGGAACCAGGGTTTTATACCACTTTTTTTCGCGTTTTTGGTCGGGTCGGTCTCGTCTTTCGAAGTGTGTGTAAGTTTTTTTGTTTGGTGAATTGACGACATGTGCAGCTTGCTTGATTGGGGCCCGACAGGTTGTAGAACCTTTTTCTTCCGTTTTGTCGGTTCGGGCTCGGTTTTCGGGGGGGGGAAAAAAAAAAAAAAGTTGCGCGGCTTTTTTGGAAAGAGAATTGGACCGACTTGGTGCAGCTCTTTTCCTTTGGGAAGCGCGACCAGGATTGTGGCAAAACCTTTTTCGTTTGGTCGGGCGGGGCTCGGTTTTCGAAGTTCCGCAGTTTTTTTGAAAAAGAATTATCGATTAGTGCAGCTTTTTTGATTGGGAACCGACGGGTTGTGCGATTTAGTTTGGTCGGGCCGGGCTCGGTTTCCGAACTTGTGCAGATTTTTGAAAGAGAATTGATGAGTTATGCAGCTTTTCTGCTTGGGAACCCACGGGCTGTGCAACCTGTTTCGTTTTGCCGGGCCGCGCTCGATTTTCGAAGTTGTGCAATGATTTTGACAGTGAATTGGCCAACTTGTGCAGCTTCTTTGATTGTAAACCGACGGTTTGTGCAATATTTTTCGTTTTGTCGGGCCGGGCTCGGTTTTCGAAGTTGTGCAGTTTTTTTTTGACAGAGAATTGACGACTGTGCAATTTCTTTGATGAGGAATCGACGACTTGGGCAACCTTTTTTTCCGTTGTCGGGCCAGGATCATTTTTCGACGTTGTGCAGCTTTTCTGAAAGACAATTGACGACTTGTGCTGCTTTTTGATGGGGAACCGACGGGTTGTACCACTTTTTCCGTTTTGTCGGGTCGGTCTCGGTTTTCGAATTTGTGCAAGTTTTTTGTTTGGGGAATTGACGACATGTGCAGCTTGCTTGATTGGGGCCCGACAGGTTGTATAACCTTTTCCGTTTTGTCGGGTCGGGCTCGGTTTTCGAAGTTGCGCGGCTTTTTTGGAAAGAGAATTGACGACTTGTGCAGCTCTTTTCCTTTGGGAACCGACCAGGTGTGCAACCTTTTTCGTTTTGTCGGGCGGGGCTCGGTTTTCGAAGTTGTGCATTTTTTTCAAAAATAATTGACGACTTGTGCAGCTTTTTTGATTGGGAACCGACGGGTTGTGCGATTTAGTTTGGTCGGGCCGGGCTCGGTTTCCGAACTTGTGCAGGTTTTTTGAAAGATAATTGATGAGTTCTGCAGCTTTTTTGCTTGGGAACCCACGGGCTGTGCAACCTGTTTCGTTTTGTCGGGCCGCGCTCGATTTTCGAACTTGTGCAATGATTTTGAAAGAGAATTGGCCGACCTGCGCAGCTTCTTTGATTGTAAACCGTCGGTTTGTGCGATATTTTTCGTTTTGTCGGGCCGTGCTCGGTTTTCGAAGTTGTGGAGCCTTTTCTGACAGAGAATTGGCGACTTGTGCAATTTCTTTGATGAGGAAGCGACGACTTGGGGAACCTTTTTCCGTTTTGTCGGGCCAGAATCATTTTTCGACGTTGTGCAGCTTTTCTGAAAGACAATTGACGACTTGTGCTGCTTTTTGATGGGGAACCGACGGGTTGTACCACTTTTTCCGTTTTGTCGGGTCGGTCTCGGTTTTCGAATTTGTGTAAGTTTTTTGTTTGGGGAATTGACGACATGTGCAGCTTGCTTGATTGGGGCCCGACAGGTTGTAGAACCTTTTCCGTTTTGTCGGGTCGGGCTCGGTTTTCGAAGTTGCGCGGCTTTTTTGGAAAGAGAATTGACGACTTGTGCAGCTCTTTTCCTTTGGGAACCGACCAGGTGTGCAACCTTTTTCGTTTTGTCGGGCGGGGCTCGGTTTTCGAAGTTGTGCATTTTTTTCAAAAATAATTGACGACTTGTGCAGCTTTTTTGATTGGGAACCGACGGGTTGTGCGATTTAGTTTGGTCGGGCCGGGCTCGGTTTCCGAACTTGTGCAGGTTTTTTGAAAGATAATTGATGAGTTCTGCAGCTTTTTTGCTTGGGAACCCACGGGCTGTGCAACCTGTTTCGTTTTGTCGGGCCGCGCTCGATTTTCGAACTTGTGCAATGATTTTGAAAGAGAATTGGCCGACCTGCGCAGCTTCTTTGATTGTAAACCGTCGGTTTGTGCGATATTTTTCGTTTTGTCGGGCCGTGCTCGGTTTTCGAAGTTGTGGAGCCTTTTCTGACAGAGAATTGGCGACTTGTGCAATTTCTTTGATGAGGAAGCGACGACTTGGGGAACCTTTTTCCGTTTTGTCGGGCCCAGAATCATTTTTCGACGTTGTGCAGCTTTTCTGAAAGACAATTGACGACTTGTGCTGCTTTTTGATGGGGAACCGACGGGTTGTACCACTTTTTCCGTTTTGTCGGGTCGGTCTCGGTTTTCGAATTTGTGCAAGTTTTTTGTTTGGGGAATTGACGACATGTGCAGCTTGCTTGATTGGGGCCCGACAGGTTGTAGAACCTTTTCCGTTTTGTCGGGTCGGGCTCGGTTTTCGAAGTTGCGCGGCTTTTTTGGAAAGAGAATTGACGACTTGTGCAGCTCTTTTCCTTTGGGAACCGACCAGGTGTGCAACCTTTTTCGTTTTGTCGGGCGGGGCTCGGTTTTCGAAGTTGTGCATTTTTT